GATCACTGGCATCTCTTGTGAGTTGGCTGGTAGAAATGTTTGCCTGAAACTCAATAGGAAGCTCATAGGAAGTTGCCTTACACAGAGTCACTGGCCCATGTAGTTCTGTCTTGTCTGCACTGACAAGCTGCAGGTTCTCCGGGAATTCAAACAAAAGCTTTCCTCAGCCAATTTCAAGGATCTTGGGGATCTGGTCCTTCTCCCTGCAGAATGCAGGTGCTTTGAATGCGATTTTCCTGTTTCTTGGCAGGGGGCTGGACTGGGTGGTCCACAAGGTCTCCTCCAACTCTATGATTTTATGAGTCTATGTGTTCTACCACTGGGCTACAGCCCTATGTTTGTACTATGACATTTGTAACTTGCTGCTTTCTTTAAATGAACAGTTCCTCCAAAGTGATTGTTTTGTATATCTGCTATTTCTATGTGACCATTTTTTAAAACTCCAAATAACAAATTTTGTATAATTGAAGTTTACAGAAAACAGCTAAATATGTCACTATTGCCAAAGTTCCTCTATACCAGTGGTTCTTAATCTGTGGGTCACGGACCACCAGTAGGGCATGAAGATGAAAATCTGGTCTGCAATCCTCTTCCTCTTTATTTATTTAATTTTATTTATTTCCACTCCTTTCATACCGCCTGCCATTCCTTCCCTATCACTGACCATGGCATGTGTTCCGTTTCAGAAGCTAGAGCTGATGTGGTCTATTCAATGCAATTTTCTGAATCAGCACCTTAAACAGAATCTAAAGTTGACTAAAAACTGATTTGAAACCTTTTTGGTACCTTCAGGCTGAAAAGGGAGGGGTTCAAATGTGGTAAATAAATAAATAAATAAAATGTGGAGAGTGGTCCCTGGTCAAAGAGCTCCCCGGTCAAAGTAGTCCCTGGTTAAGTGGTCCCTGATCAAAGTGGTCCCTGGTCAAAGAGGTCCCTGGTCAAAAGGGTCCCTGGTCAAACTGGTCCCTAGTCAAACCACTCCATGGTCTAGTGGTCCCTGGTCAAAAAAAAAGGTTGGGAACCACTGCTCTATACCCATGTATCTCCAACTATGTTCAGACTTGAACATTATTCTGAAGAGGACATTCATTTACATCAGAGTATACAAACTCTGGGTGCATCTGCACTGTAAAATTAATGCAGTTTGACACCACTTTAATAACCTTGCTCAATGCTATGGAATCAAGGGGATTTTACAAGTTCTTTAGCCTCCTCTGCCAAAGAGCGCTGGAGCCTCACCAAACTACAAACAAACTGTACTGGTGGTAGTGTCCTTTGGTTGATACAACCGATGTATCAACTTATCCCAACTGAGGGTGCATCTGGATTGATTAGAAAAGACAAGAAAGCCCAAGATTCTCTTTATGATCTTTCTGATTTTATTTTGATAATCCATATTTTCTATCAGCTTCTGGTACAGAGACTTTTATACCAGCAACTCAGATTGACTTATTTTAAGTCAATACTAAACTAGAAAAAGCAAGAATGAAATTTGGATTTTTCAATTAGGCTGGTTGTCCCACAAGTTATTCCGTTGACCCCTTTGTTTCTTTTCTCCAAGTAATCCAAAATAGTTTATATGATGCTCTTCTCTCTCCCCCCCTCCCTCCATATTATCATCATAAGAGTCATTTGAGAAAAGTTAAGATGAGAGTCAGGCTATAGATTTTTCAAAACTTTTTCTGGTATCCTTTACTGAAAAACCATAACTTAGAGAGATTCTCAGAAATGGAAGATGACACATTTGCCAACATTATTTTCTGGAGAGAAGGGTCTCAAAGATGTCCTGGAGTAAAAGGCTACAAAAAGAGCCTTGGGTAGTGGGCTTTAACCCATAGTTCTCTCAAAAATAGAAAACAGGCCCATTCCACACATTGCACAGCAACAAATCCCGGTTTGTCTACGATGTGTACAGCTGTAAAGAATAGCACATTGTAGAGGGCATACCTGCATACAAAATGGTACAAAATTATTGAAAGGAATGTTGACTTCAGTTGTCATCCACTGGGTGAAGAAGCCATGTCACATATTGTTTGTAACTATATGTTATAATCTCTCGTTGCATGGGTAGATGTCACAGTATCACAAATAGAAGTTCTTTTCTCCCTTTTGAGTTCACTTCATTCCTTCCCCCAAATTATTCCAAAAGGTTTCCAGATATGTGGAGGATGATACAATCGGCTGCAGGCAGGTGAAGAATTACACTTCTCCTCATTCTGAAAAAGGAAAGATTGTCCAACAGTGGAAGGACAATGTTAAAATATAAACGTTAGAATGATTTTGTCTGCTTCCTTTTGCCTGTCTCTCTTAAGTTGCAGCTTCTGGGACATCCTGTAACAAAAGTTTGTGATGCACTCCCCCAAATGCCCAAGCGACCCTTCTGTTTTCTCTACTGTCTGACTGTTAACAATGTGTGTCAAAATCTATGACCTCAAGTAGGGACACAAGGGTCTGTTATTACTATTTGAGCTACCAATAAACCCCAAGCATGGATAAGTTTGACCTTATACAGCATGTGCAGATTTATTTGGAGGCGTTTGGGAATGCCACCTGCTCACATGCCCTTTTAACTATATCCACACAAAGCATTTGTCTAACCACACACAGTCACGATAGTCCGCAAAGCTTCATAAGGCTTCACAAGAGGCTTCTTGTATTTAAGGTCACAGACAGCTTTCACAGACACATCACCCCCTCCCAGTGCTTCCCCTTGGCTCAGGATGAACCGAATATGCACAAGAGACAACTGGTCTAATAAAGCCACTACAAAGCACTTGAGGTTTTTTGTGTGTTTTTTGAATCGATGCACAGTGAAGTTTCCTGAGATATGTTGCTCACTGAATATCTGACAGGGAAGATAAAATGGAGGGAAGGAAGAATAGAGACTATTATTGCTTTCCTTTTCTATATCAGAGAAGAGACATTGAGATCTTCTGGGTGTTCTTGGATTGCAACTCCTAAGGCCCTTCAGTATTGGCTTTACTAACTGAGGGTAATAGAAGTTGCAATCCAGCAATAGTCAAATGATAATGTTGCCAGTTCCTGCTGTTTGGAAACATAAGATAAACTTTTCACATAGTTTCATTACATGAAGTTCCAAATTACAATGCTCCAATGAGCGAGTTAAATTGTTGACTGAAAGGTTGGCTGTTCGAATCCAGGGAGTGGGGTGAACTCCTCCTTTTAGTCCCAGCTTCTGCCAATCTAGCAGTTTGAAAGCATTCAAATGTGAGTAGATCGATAGATATACTGCTTCTGCAGGAAGGTAACAGCGCTCCATACAGTCATGCCAGCCACATGGCCTTGAAGGTGTCTACAGACAACGCGACTCTTTGGCTTGGAAATGGAGATGAATACCACCCCCCAGAGTTGAACACAACTAGACTTAATGTCAAGGGGAAATCTTTACCTTTTTAATGTGAATTTTGTACTTGATTTGATGTTTCAAATGGATCTAAGAGAGCCTTGGAAAATTAAGGTAGAAAACTGTTACTACAATATTTTCCTGTTACAAAAGTATTGCATATACTCATGTATATGTCATCCATGTGAACAATTTCAGATCTGAGAGAATTTTGGATGTCAGAATTCCAGATAAGGGATGCTCAGCCTGTATACATTCTAATGAACATTTTATTAATTAAGCAATTACAACCTAGAATCAACAGATCAATTGTTTTTAGCAAAACCTAATGACTTCATTGAAGATCACTGTTAAATGTGTGCAGTAAAGCAAGATCTAGCCAAAGCTAAGCACTTTGAAATCCCATTGATACACAAGGGAGAACATTATGCCTCTGCGGGTAGAAACAGGCACAGCCAGAATGTGGAACATGTGGCCCTCCAAAGAGAAGGGATAGCCCTGAGATTCCAAGGGCTTGGGATAGCTGTGTTTAAATTAATTTTAAAAAATAAAAATCCAAAAATGCATACATTCTATGCAAAGTAGGGCTGGTGGCAATGGCAATATGACTACTTCTGGAGAGCCATCCATACTCATCTCCTCTGCTTTAATATGAAATGTTGAGAACTAGTATCTTGTGTATAGACTTACAGAGAACATGTTCTATCACTATGCTGCCTACTTTCTTGCCTAGATGTTAGATCCACCAAATGGCCACCATGATACTCGAACCTTGCCTCCAGTAGTGGAGGCTCTTTCCAAAGCCTCCACAGCAGTGATACACATTCCAGGTTGGTGGCAAATAGTTCTGCCCATGGAACTCTTAAGGTAAAGGTAAAGGTAGTACCCTGACATTAAGTCCAGTCATGTCTGACTCTGGGGTGTGGTGCTCATCTCCATTTTTAAGCCGAAGAGCCAGCATTGTCCGTAGACACCTCCAAGGTCATGTGGCCAGCATGACCACATGGAGCGCCGTTACCTTCCCGCCGGAGCGGTACCTATTGATCTACTCACATTTACATGTTTTCGAACTGCTAGGTTGGCAGAAGCTAGGGCTGACAGCGGAAGCTCACGCCGCTCCCTGGAATCGAACCTGCAACCTTTCGATCAACAAGCTCAGCAGTTCAGTGCTTTAACCCATTGCACCACCGGGGGCTCCTTATGGAACTCTTAGTGGGATTGAAATGTGCTGACAATATTCCCAGACTTCAGTATTTTCTTGTGGAGCTTATATTAGGTATAAGTTACGTACTACATTATTGTTTTTCTACAAAACTTATGTCGCACTTTTCACTACACCAGTTAGGACAACTGGTAGCAATTAAAAGCAGTAAAATACAATACAATTACAAAATATATTTAAAACACACACAGGAAATTGTAATGCATTTAAAAGCCTGAACAGCAAGGTCTTTGCCATACAATCATATATAGTTGAAGAAGGTCCCAGTCTAGCCTCTCAGGGAAAGGGCTTCCAAAGTGTTGGAATTCTGACATTATGAACTCCAAGGGAACATCTTGATTCATCGAACCATTTCCAGCACATTCCTAGTTAGAAGACTTAAGCTTTCAACTGAGTGGTAAAAGATACTATTGCTATTTTACTCCTATTCCAAAAATGAGTTCCCACATCCTTTGGCTAAGAGATACATCAGTAAAAGATATAATACCCATGGGATATTTTGGATTTACTGAAGTTCACAAAATTTGCAGAAAATAGCAAACTTGATTAAACTGATCAGAACAGATACTACACTTGATCATAGCCAAAAGGCTAAGAACCAATATGATAGCAAACCTTACTGAAGGGAGTACCTTCAGTGGAAGCATACAATAAGGTCATACTGAAGAACAAAGGAAATGCCTAGAGAGAACACCATTCTAGGTCCTCTAACATGACTCAATGGTCAAATTCCACTGGAAGCTTACTGGAGGACTTAGTAAATGAGAGACTATATTTTGTAAGATGTGGATAAATTATGAACATCAGTCTCATGAATACATGAGCCATACTATACTACAATTATCTTAGCTGAGCCATTTTCATTGTTCTGCACACTCGGTTTATCAGGGGCCATCATCTGTAGCATTTGCTTGAATCTTTGAACCATATTCAGTTTCTCATATGATCTTTGTCATAGTGTTGTTCCTTGGCATTGTGGGAAATTTTAAATTGAGGTTGATATCCACCTGCTGCTGCCAATAGAGAAGCGGTAGGTTATCACATATGCTCTCAAATCAAGAGATGTCTATTTGTGTTAGAGAGTTTGCCTTTTGCTGGTGCCTTAGATATAGACCTGAGTTTTACTAAGCCATGACCTAATGCATACCCTCCAACTTTTCCAGTTGATCCAAATATACCACTTTTTCAGCCCAGTTTTTCTTTCCTCATCCCTATGTCCTCAATTTACTTTGATAACTACAAGCTGAGTTCAAAATGCAATTTGCAATCAAATAATTCAGTGGAAAGGACTCTTCCCTTTCCCTGCAGATTCAGACAAAAGTAAACAGCTTCTGGCATCTTGACTGTGATGTTGCTCAACTACAAAGTCCTGTCTTTCAGCTGAGAAATTTTGGAGGGTATGTGACTGGCTTTAAGCAAGTAATTTTATCTCAGACTCTGTAGACATCTATAAAATAGGAATAATATTGCCGCAAATGGTGATGAAGTATTACTATGTGAACACACAAAATTTTTCATGCTTCTCCCCAAGGGTTGCTTACAGGAATATTTTACAGGAAAGGAAAGACCTTCTGTTTGCCTAATGCAATCATACTAAGGTAAAATGAGGTCAAGGTAAAATAAAGGTTTCCCCTGACATTAAGTCTAATCATGTTTGACTCTAGGGGATGGTACTCATCTCCATTTCTAAGCTGAAGAGCCGACATTGTCCATAGATACCTCCAAGGTCATGTGGCCAGCATGACTGCATGGAAGGCTGTTACCTTCCTAATGATCGACTTACATTTGCATGTTTTTGAACTGTTAGGTTGACAGAAACTGAGGCTAGTAGCAGCAGCTCACCCCAGATTCGAACCACCGACCTTTCAGTCAGCAAGTTCAGCAGCTCAGCAGTAGATATGTATAAAAATAGCACAAAGAAAAGAGAAGTATCTGAAAGTGATCATTAGGTCACTTTCACGTGGGGAAGAATTTTGCGTTTTTTGACATTTCCTATAATCTTTCAGTAAACGCAGCCAATGGTTCTGACTTGGACAGACACTGTTGAGAATCCCTACCATTCATTCAAATGAATATTAATCAACACTAACAATCTTAAATAATGTTTGTTACAAGGATATATTGAATAGGGTTCTGCATTGACTGTTTGAAAGTATTGGGGTTTTTTTCAACAAGACAGTGTTGTTTTTTGTTATTTTCCTCACGATCCAGCCAGACATATTAAAATGAATAAATTTCTGAAACAAACTTGCTTTTTAACAGGAAACCTCAAAGTCTGAGAACAGCAGCATTCCTGTGTCCCATTGGACAATTCCTTCAGAGAGTGGGCTTTATTGTTGCCTTTACTGTAAGTTACATTTTGTTGTTGACAAAGCAAAAGAGGGAGGGAGGGAGGAAGAAAGAGTCAAAGCAGTCAGAAATGCAATCTTGCTTAAATCTGAAAGAAAGGCAGCAACATTTCCCTGACATTTAGGTACACAGACAAAAACAAATGTCTAGGATTGTAAGAAGCCAAAACAATAAAAGAAAGTGCAGCTGTCTTCGTGTGATGTCAGAAAACAGGTGTGATTCAAGCCTCCATACCAGGGCAGTCGTATTGATCTTCCGATGATGCACATCTAAGGTGCATATGGGACCATAAGGAACTATTGTGAGTCCACCTCCAGGAATATGGACAGCTAATACCACCTCTAAGTAATGTCAAGCACTTTCTAGAATCAGGATGAATATTTTGTCCAATAGATCAAAACAGCATCAAGATAAACTTAATCAAGGACCTAATACTGGAATAAAGCATGATCCAATGCTGGCTTTCCTTTTAAGGTAATACTAGGTACCTACTTCAGATGGCAGCCCCAGTTATGCCTTAAGAAACCCCTGGAGAACTATCATGTGTGCCTCACACGCAGCCTATTTTGTACCCCATAAATTAGTGTGCTACAAGGATACTAGATCTGATGCTTTCAGGGTCTGAGCCCTTGGGTGTTTTCGTTAATAGGAACTGTAACTTATCTGACATCTCCCTAAGCACTGTTCCTCAGATCTTAGTTGCTATCCTCACATTAATGGGTGGGGACACATATTTTCTCAGCACCAGTGTATATGTAGGGGCAATTTTTTTGTTATCCAAAATATTTGTGGGTAGCTTTATTTTCAGTTGGCCAAATCCATTAGCTTTATAAAAGAAATTCTCCTGGTAGAAAAGAAAACTGCTAAAAAATATTTTAGAGCAACAGCTGGCTGCACATTTGGAATCTCAGAAAAAAATGCTGTAGAGCAGCGTTTTTCAACCTGGGGATCAGGATCCGGGTGGGGGGGGGGTGTAAGGGGGTGTCAGAGAGGTCACCAAAGACCATCAGAAAATACAATATTTTCTGTTGGTCGTGGGAGTTCTATGTGGGAAGTTTGGCCCAATTCTATTGTTGGTGAGGTTCAGACTGCTCTTTGATTATAGGTGAACTATAAATCCCAGCAACCACAACTCCCAAATGTCAAGTCTGTTTTCCTCAAACTCCACCAGTGTTCACATTTGGGCAAACTGAGAATTTGTGCCAAGTTTGGTCCAGATCCATCATGGTTTGAGTCCACAGTGCTCTCTGGATGTAGGTGAACTACAACTCCAAAACTCAAGGTCAATGCCCACCAGACCCTTCCAGTATTTTCTGTTGGTCATGGGAGTTCTGTAGGCCAAATTTGGTTCAATTCCATCGACAGTGGAGTTCAGAATGCTCTTTGATTGTAGGTGAACTATAAATCCCAGCAACAACTCCCAAATGACAAAATCACCCCCCCCCACACACACACACACACACAACGCCACCAGCATTCAAATTTGGGCATATTGGATATTTGTGTAAAATTTGGTCCAGTGAATGAAAATACCATCTGCATATCCGATATTTACATTACAATTCATAACAGTAGCAAAATTATAGTTATGAAGTAGCAATGAAAAGAAATTATGGTTAAGAGTCATCATAACATGAGAAACTGTATTAAGGGGTCATGGCATTAGAAAGGTTGAGAACCACTGCTATAGAGGTTGTCTTAGTAAAAATCTAGGCTTCAAAATTTGCACTACATCACAGGTCTGCTGCCTTCAGGTGCAGTTTGGACTCCTGTGCCATAATCAGTATTTTAAAATGTCCTATCTTTTGTATCTGTATCTAGTTGTGATCCCCAGGTTGTGCTAGTCAGCTTTTGTATAATATTGTTTCTAGCACCCACTTTTTGCTTGATAATCAAGCAGTGCTTCTTGTAAGTCAGAGCACAGTCCAGAGAGACTCCCAGGTATTTTGGTGTACTGCAATGCTCCAGTGGGATTCCTAATAGAGCTAGATGTTATCTGCATATCGATGGCACCATACCCACAAAATTCTAGAAATTCTTTCCCACTGGTTCTATATATAAAATAACTTGGGGACAAAAGATTACCCTGAAGGACTCCAAAGACCAAGGGCTAGGAACTCAAGCAGGAGTCCTGCCAGCATCACTGAGTTTGTCCCTCTAGGAAGGAACAGAGTCACTGTAGAATAGTGTCTCCAAGTCCCATCCCAGTGAGAAACCAAGATTGGTGGCACCAGAAGCCACTGGGAGGTCCAATACTCCTGTCCAGCTTCTGGCATAGATCATCCACTGAGGCAACAGACAGTGCCTTTGTTCCATAACCAGGCCTGAAAACAGATTGAAACAATGCCTTTGTACAAATCTGTGGTGGAATCACACTTGAAAACATTGTGTACAGTTCTGGTCACCAGACCTCAAAAACAGATCTAAAATAAGTATAAAAGAAGCCAATCAAAATGATCAAAGATCTGGAGCAACTTCCCTATAAGGAAATGGCTATGATGTTTGAAGGGCTTGACTCAGAAAAAAGTGAATAAGAAAGTGTATACAGAGGTGTGTAAAATTAGGCATGGTGTAAATGGAACTTGAGGTCATCTGGTGAAACTGGAAGATTCGGAGCAGCTAAAAGCAAGTATTTCTTCACACAGTGCATAGTGAAATGGTAACATTCGCAGCCAATTTGGACAGCTTTAAAAGAGAATTCATAGGGCTATCAATAGCTGGCCACTTTAGATATACAGTATATTACTTCCAGTATTACGGGCAGTATGCCTCTAAATACCAGTTGCTGGGAAGTACAAGCAGGAGGGTGTATTTGCACTCATGTCCTGCTTGTGAGTTTTCCGTAGGCATCTGGCTGGCCGCTGAACAAACAGTCCTGAATTTAATAGGCCTCTGGTTTGGTATAGCACATGTCTTCTTACATTCTTATTTCCCATAAGAAAGTATGACTGGATTAAAGAAGGCTTACTTGTAGGATTGTTTCTAGTTACCACTCCCATCTTCACACTGCTACTCTGTTATACGCACAAACACAAATGAAGAAATCAGAATTTGATAAGGTTACCTTTTGGGAGGAGGATTACAACTCCCCAGATTTCCTAACCATTATGCCCACAGTGGGAAATTCTGGGAAATGTAATCCAAAAAGGGGGATTTTTCAGAACTCTTGTCAGAAGCATACAGATATCTAGAAATACTATTTGTCTCTTACTCGATGGAGGGTGGAGGTGTGGTGAAGGAACTTAGGACCATTA